AGTCAGCAGGAAAGGCAGACCTCTCATTATTAAAGCCCTTTGAAAGAGAGATTGATTTTAGAGGGAACTCTTACACTGGATGTCATTTTTGCTACAAATTAATCTTACAGTCTGAGTTCCCAGCCTGGTACTTAGGGGTAAGTCCTAATGTACTGTAATTTGAGTTTTCAGGGGGTTATAAAGGAATTTCTAAAATCTGAGGTGAAACTTGGCATGACAATTTTCAGCCCAAATGCCTCATTCTCTCCTGGAATAGATTTTCCCAGATTTTGAAATCAATGTAGAATATTGGTTTGTTTTCTTTATGTAAGACTTCAGGTGAGGTTTTTAAATAAGGACTTTGGATCCATGTTTGCAGCACACAAGTGCTCTCTAAATTATTGGATACCACGTGTCTGCAGCCACCATATGACCCAGCATCTCTTAATGGTTCTGAGGTCTTGTTTGCCTTGTTAGTTAATTAGGTTTAAATGGCTGAGCAAGGTGTACTGTTAAAAGGAGACAGCTGGACACGTACATTAGCAGCTTTCTTTAACACCTTACACATGCCAACAATGACACCCATGAAAGGAAGGGGCTAAAATGGAAACAACTTCTCTAAAATCACCTTGCACAAAAGGCTCCTCAGATCTGGTGCTGTGGTTTTATGCCCTGTATTGTCTCAGGGGCAAATTTAGCATCCATTTTGGCTCCAGGCCAGCTCTTTCTTACTTGACCTCAGAGTGACTCATAAGTGATCCATGATTAATTTATTTAAGGTTTAAGAACAAGAAATTAAACAGTTCTACTCCACAGATTTGCTTTGCCACTAGCAAATTAATCAAATGAGAGTCTAATTTGTTTTAGATTAAATGAATTCCCTCTGTTCGCTGCGCTAATCCCCAGCTGAACTGCTTTTTCATGATTCCCACTCCCTTGAAGCATTGTACTGTAACTTATTTAACTCTACAACTGTATTTACTAGAGGTGTTGCAGTAATAGTTTATAGCTGGAGGGCAAGTGGAATTTGGCATTGGTGTTCAATGGGGCATGGATATTGCCAAAATATCTCAAAGGGGGGGTTTTTTTCACTTTTTTGGACCACAACTCTTACTTTTGCAGTGACTCCTTAACACATTTGATGTACTGCTGTTCAGCCAGAGTGAGACAGTGATTTGTAGCAGTTTGCTGTAAGCTCCCCATGACAATCTGTTCTAGCATCCAATGAAGCTCTTGTAAACTCAATAAAACAGGAGATCTCTGGTGGCCCTTCCCTTACATGGTTAAATATAACTGGTTGCTCACATATGTTTCTGTTCTGCCCAAAGTTCACCTCTTTTATGGACCTTCCTGCTGCCAGAGTTCTGTACAAGTCAGTGGAATAAGAGTCAAGCTTTTGATTTTTCTTCATCTTTCTTATTCTGGATTTTGGTTCACAGCTGAGTGTCTTATAATTGAGTTAGGGCTGGTCTTCCCCATACTAAAGAGTTAATTCTTGTCACCAGGACATAACAACAAATTCTACTTGATTGTCTGCTTCAAGGAGGAGTCTGCCCTTCACATTTTTCACCTATAAAAATAAGCCTTGCCTGCATATTAATGCATGTGTGCGTAACAGAAATACTGTGTTCATTCCAGTCCCCTTTGTAACTGAGGACTGGATTTAAACTAAAGAAAAATATTTCTAACTTAAGGCTTTCACAATGTCCAACAAACCACTCCAACCTCACTCAAGTGTGGGCACCGCTGATGTGAAAATGCAGAATTTCAATTTCTAAGATCAATCACTGGTGCTCAAAGCTCATTAATTTCTGCCACAATTTCTGATATTGTCTTTAAAAGCATAAGTCATTAAAACACACTGGAGTTGTTCAGAGTATTTGACTTCTTACTTGGTGTATATTTTCTTAACCTCTGTAATTCATAACAGATCACATTTTCATAGTTTTCGCTAGAAAAGCTGTTACCTTTTAAATGAAAACTTAGGTTCTCCTGTATTTTGCTGATTTTAAGATATCTGGAAGCTCTGAGATTTTTGTAGAACTTGTGACAAAATTTTAATATTTCCAGCACTGGAACAGGGAGCTGAAGATCAAGTTTCTGCTGCCTCCAGTGCAGACAGTACTGCCCAACAGACATGGGAGGAGCAGGCTGGGTGCAGGGTTTTGCTTTTGGATTAAAATTTATAGGCTTGTTTGTCAACTTAATTTTTAATATTTCAAACATAGACTTCTTCTGAGGTCGGACTTTCAACCCATCTTAGTCTCTTTTTCCAAAGTGCTGTAATTTCTGAATGTTTAGTCTAAGCTTGCTTCATTAATTTCCTCCATCTTTTTTTTTTCCTTAAACTTGTTACATTACAGTTACTATTTTAAAGTACTATATTTGCACATGACTTCAGCAGAGATTCAGATGTGACTGAAAGAACATTGTCTGTTAAATAATTTTTATAGACTTATCCTAAAATTACATTGACTGCCCCTTACAAGATCAACTCACAGAGATGATGTTTGAGATTTTACTGATCAGGAAGACAAATCACCACTTAACATAACTGTCCTTGCCCATCTCCACTTCTTTGTTTCAAATATCACAAGTGCTCTTCAAAATTAGGAGGTGAATGAATAATTATAATGTAACCAAAGCTTAAGGAAAAAGCCCATCCCTAGAAAGAATAACATGCAGCATTGCAAATACTGAAAAGCATATAGATATATATTTAAAAGTGTATGTGTGTATAGAAATGTATAATATGTGCATATATAAACATGTTGCATATGATGAAATGGCCAAAGAAACAAAAATGTGATTAAAACTGTAAAAGCCAATGTTGTTGGTTTAAGCATGAAAAACAAGAAAACTAGGGAAGGGGCTATCAGCCTGGGAGGATGGACTTGGAGATGTGGTGTGGGATGAAGCTGCAGGATTTAAAGGTGGCCTGGCTGTACACATCAGCTCCTGATCGGATAAGTCACGTTACACTCCTGAGAAACAAAGGAGGTGATTCTGTTGCAGCCTGATAGCAGGAGTGGGCAGGAAGCTAAGGTCTCTGGAGCTGTTATCTTATTTTGTGCAGCATTTTATCTTTTGTGCAACAGGGGAAGATCTTTCCTGAGTAGCTCACTGCTGGGATGAGAGGTTGGTTTTTGACTGTTTATGGTTTATTGGTATTTGTCATGTTTGGTTGGGGGGCCTTGTCTTCAGATAACATTTGGGACAATTGTGAGGGTTTGTTTGGCTTGGTTTTTTGAAGGTTTCTGTCTGTCTTTAAAACAAGGATGTGTTTGTTTTGCCTAAGAGCATCTGCTGACTCTTTCACTTCTTAAGTGCACATCTGAACTGGGGATTTAGCTAAAGATATGGACAGGAGCACTGCTGGCAGTAAGCAAAATGTCTTACCTGGTGAAGAATGTTTTTAGCTGTTTAATCAATTGTGCTGTCTGAGTAAAGGGTGATGTTCTGCAAAATTATGCATTTCATGGACTCTGCTGCTGCTTCAGGCAAAGTCTCCTTCAGAGACTTCTGTGTGTGGCACTTCACAGGTCAGAAGGAAGAACAAGTCAGATTTCCTGCTGGAGACATGCACGCAAATCCTTTAGGCTTTGTTGAGCCTGGATGCAGACTGTATCTTTGCCTTTGTATTCATCCCCCCAGGGATGTGTGCTGTCCCAAGTTAGCTGTGGCACCAGTTAGCCCAAATTTGTGATGTAGAGCATCCCAATCATGTGCAGTAAGTCTGTGGGCAAAAAAGATCTAACTAAAGACAGACTTCTCACTCCATCACATGTATTTATCTGCTTTCAGCTTGCTTTTCCTCCACCAGGCATTAAATGTTCCCTCTGGGAAATACAGAGGCGGGAGAAGACCAGCCTGGGCTGTGCTGCCCTCCCAGCAGTTGATGCAGAGGCTGGTGCTGGTGACAAGGCAGAGCTTTTGCCTTTCCTGGCTCAGCAGAATGAAGGGTTGCTTGGTGGAAGGAGGCTGAACACATGAACACAAACATATTCTTTTTTTAAAAAAAGTCATGGGTGTATTTTTTTTGCTGAGGCCAGCCTTTTCCTTTGCTGACGGAAGGAAATGGAGAGAAAATAACCTTGTGATTATTAGCATATTACTGCTTCCTTGTAAAGATGAGAACAAAAGGCAGGATGGAATCATCAAATGATAGAATACCCTGAGTTGGAAGTGACCCTCAAGGATCATCAAATCCAACTCCTGTCCCTGCACAGGCCAGCCCCAAGAATCACACCGTGTATATGAACACATTGTCCTAACTCTTCTAGAACTCAGGCTGGCTGGTGCTGTGACCACTTCCCTGGGGAGCCTGATATTCTCCTAAGAGCCAACCTAAACCTCCCCACAACTTCCCTTCCCTCGGCTCCCATTATCAGTGTTCAGCCCTCCACTTCCCCTCACGAGGAAGTTGTAGATTGTCGTGAGGTGTTCCCTCAGTCTCCTTTTCTTCAGGCTGAACAAACAAAGTGACCTCAGCCATTCCCCTCTAAACCTTTCACAATCTTCACCATCTCAGTTTTTATTTTTCTCATCCGAGTTTCTCATTTCTGTTTCCCATGTTTTATCGGATCTGAGATTTTCAGGCCAAGCTAGTGTGCATGGGAGGTGGTGGACAGATGGACAACCATCCCCTCTGACTCCTGTGGCCCAGGCAAGCTTTATCAGGTGGCACACTGGTGACACTTGTGGCTGTCATTGTGATGGGGGACATATCTGCTCTGGTCTGCACTTAGCTGCCAAGCAGGCCTCAGAATGGCTGCCAGGTGATAAACCTGCACCGTTTGTAATCTGGAGTTCTGCTGGGGATTCTCACTGGGGGAAAGGCTCTGAACTGCCTTCTGCAATTGGAGACAGAGGTGGGATAGGAGCAGCAGAGGGGATGGTTGTTAGCTTGCCTAACAAACCAAGTCAACTTACATTATTTGAACATACACCTGTAAAAACTTTTTCTCATCTTTTTCCAGTGGTAGTAGTAATAATCTGCTGCTGTGTCTTTCTTTCTCCAGACGACTTTGCAGAGGAGGAGGAGGTGCAGTCCTTCGGCTACAAGAGGTTTGGTAAGTGACCTTACCAAAAGCAGTCTTTCAGCTTGCTTAGGGTAAATCAAACACTTGCAATGAAAAACTTTCTTGCTCGCAGCATCGAAACATACAAGTAAAGTCCCATCATCCACATCCAATGTCCTCCCAGAGGAAGGTGTGATGTTTAGACTTGGTTTATTTTCTTGGCAAACATAAGGCTTCCAAAACAGTTCTTTCATTAGGAAATTGAAGCCCACACCTGAAGAGAAATTAATGTGCTGGCTGTGAAAAAAAGGGGCCATGCCTCTTACATGTCCTCTGCCCAGCTTCAGCCCCCAGACAGATGTGCAGCAGAGTTTATAGGTTTTCTCCAGAGTGGTTTCATGGCATCTCCTGTAGACATGGCTCAGTTGTACCGGCAGCTGAGCCACGACACAGGCTGTGCACTACTCTGAAAGGAAAAGTATATGGTATGAATGCATTCTGATGTCAAAAATTATTAAAATGAGATTGCTTACTTTCTTTCCTTTTTCCACTTTCCTCTTTTTTTTTAATGTTTGTTTACCTAAAATGGCCTTCTCATGAGGAGGGTCGTACCAGCATCTGTGCACAGGGGTTAGCAGCCTACAAGACCCCTGTGTTCAAGGCTCTTGTGATCTCTTTCTGTTGGGAAGACATTTCAGTCTCTGCAATCAACAGTTTCACCCAGGGCAGGAGAATGCCTGTCCCTGTGGCAAGGGGAAGGTGACATGGTGGCCACCGAGCTCCCACAGTGCCATCTCTGTCTTGGCACAGCCAAACGGGCTCATCATCACAGCTGCTGGTGCCTTTTCACCTATAAGCCATCAGAATAGTAGTTCACCTCATTTTTCCTGTCCTGGGAAAGCAGCTGCAGCAAGACTCACTTTCAATGACCCCAGATGGCAAGTGGATAGAAAAGGCAGGCTGAAAATAAAAATGAAAAGTAAAAAATTCCTTCTATCCCAAAAGGAGCAGGGGGAGGCAGCATAAGGAGATGAGTTTGGGAGGTGGAGATCACATTCGCATGACCTTTTCTACCCCCTGAACTACTCCACTGCTCCCTGCTGTTGAGCTTTATTTTGGATAGATCAGCCAACCACAGAGCCAGCATCTGTGATTTGGAAAGTCCTCCATACGGCTGCATGCAGGTTTTTTTTCCTTTTTTGTTTGTTGTTTTCCTTTTGTTTGTTTCCTTTTGTTGTTGTTGTTGTTGTTCTGCATTAAGCTCTGGAATAGCAAAAAAGCAAAACAAATCTTGAAAAATAGGAAGAAATACTAACTCTTCATTTCTGTCACCTCCAAATAAGTAAAAAATATTGGTATTCATTAAGAACTATAAAAATAGGTTCCTTTGGTGTCATCCTCTACCTAGCTATCCCTGGTCAGCACTCTTGCAGTGAACAAGATTTTAGGGAGGCATGAGTACTACATTATCCTTACTGTCCCAATAGTAAGTCCGCTGTTGTGACATGATGGGATTTTTGCCTACTAACTTGCTGTCATTTTTTTCTTTCTCCTGGATATTGTGATGCTACCAAGGTGAGTTATTTCTCCCCTTAGAAAAACAGACCATTTCCAGAAATGCTTGTGCTGTTGTGCTTGGTGGGGCAGCATGGAGGGAGGAGAGGACTTGCAGCCTGGACGTGATAGGACGAGATTTCACCACAAGAGGAGGAGTCAGGGTAGTTCCACTCTTAGGAACCACCCATAAGTGCCTTATGCCTCTGGAAAATAACATTGCTGTGGTCAGGAAGGTATCCCAAATATCTGCAGTACAGAAGAGCCTTGACTATAGGGGGAATGGGATCATGAAGCCATAGCATTGGCACTGGTGAGAGCTGTCTAATTCAGTAGGGTGCCAATCCAAGGAGCTGCATTTGTCCATACTATTTTGGAGCCCAATCTTCCTCCCATACCCTCCTCATCTTTCCCAGCATCAGGGGGCAGCTCAGGGAGGAGGTAGGCTGGCTTGGTTTCCACACATCCCTGCACCAGCATACATGCTCTTTGACAGTAGGTGCTCATGCTTTTGTGTCCCTTAAAGGGTTTATTTCCCCTTCATCAGAAAACCTGACTCAGTGAGTTCCCACCTCTACAGCCTCTGCTGCATTTCCAGGCAGCCTCTGGAGAGAGTGGGAGCCTCATGCTTTCAGCAGGGCTGGCTGCTTCCTCACCTGGCACTGGGCTCCTCCAGACAGAAAGGTGACCTGCACGACTTTTAAAGACTCCAGACTCAGTGGACAGCTGGGTCAGCATTTCAAGTGAAGCGCCAAAGGTTGCTCTTTGGGCCAAGATGCAGCTGAGCTCCTGCCTGACCAGTAGGAAATGTTACGCCTGCTGTCTTGGCCCTGTGTCCTTCCTGGTAAAAGAAAGCAATAAGGGGGAATCCCCAGGCAAGAACCAAGTTTTATTACACAAACCTATATAAAAGGTAATTTTGAAAGAAGTGCTGTCTGCCTGCTGGCTGGCACTGTAGAAATGCCAGCACTGTTCCTGTACAGTCTTTTGGTGTGGGCAGGGATAAAAACAGCACTGGGGTTTTTGTTTCAGGAGTCACAGTGCAAGAGCAGTTGTGTTAATATATTGTGATTGGAGAAGTCCCTGCTCCATAGACACGAGACACAGCAGATGGACCATGAGTCAAGTACCTTTGACTCCATCATTTGGAATTGGGAGGTCTTGTTTGGAGCAAAATGTGCTCTGAGGGGCAGAAGGCTAAAGTATAACTAGTTTAAAAAACGTAGCTAGCAGTCAGTCACTGCTGGCAGCTGGGAACATGTGCTGGTCAGCATTTGGCAGGCAAAGCCTTGACCAAGCTGCTTTCCTAGAGTTCAGCTGAGGAGTTTATTATTAGCTGTCTTGTTCCCAGAGCCTGTAGTTTGGTTCAAGGAAGGAAGAGATCAGCAGAAAGAGGGAAGGAGGGAGGCATTCTCCAGAAATTGTCATTTTGGGGAAGAAGTTTTTGAAAAGATGACTGAATACTCACTGTCTTGCACCACTTCCCCTTTTTCTGAATTTTTCTGTCCTTCCTTTTCAAATAAGTTAATTTCTGAGAATTTGTCAAGCTACTGTATTTTTTATTCAATAGAGCATTAACTGGTCATAGTAAGCCAAACATACTAAGCATAACACACTAACATATTAAAGAATAATGAATACAGATGCAGACAAGTCCTAGGAAAATACACATCGGATTTTTTCTCCTTTGAGCTTGGGACAGATTTGCTGCAGGGGGTCAGTAAGGAAAAGAGTCTTTCCAGCTCACTGATGGCTGTTTACTTCTTTTCAATGAATGCTACAGATGTGCAGGGATGCTGCCAGAAGTTGCTCAGCTGCAATTTCTCCAGATTGCTGCACTGAAAAAGTGAGGAAGTGTGTTTCTTATTCCAGTTACTTCATCTTCAATCCCATTTCTCAGGCTGTTTTAAAGTTATCTGCTCCAGATGGCAAGCTAAGCCTCTCCACTGGTTTTCCTCTACCAGATTGCCACCAATATTAACTCTTTCATCAATCAATGTCACTGATTTGTACCACCTCATGCACAACTCACTTTGGGAAAGAATGGATGAGGAAAGGGCGAAACTTCCTTTCCAATATGATACACTTTGGGGATGCTAAATCTCAAGCATGAGAACTAAGACTAGTTTCTAAATGGTAGACAGAAGGATGAGATCTCTTTCTGGCAGGGTTTGACTCTTTCCTCTGAGATTTGGGCTCTGGGCATCTCCACAGGCAAGGGAATTGAAGGGATCAATTAGACTCCAAGGTAGAATATCTCATCTTCCTAATCATTGTGCATTTTTTTCCTTTTGTTAATGTTTAAGAACTTAATATCTTCACTTTAATAGTCTTTTAAGTAGAAATTTCCTGTTAAATTATTGATTGCATAATACAAAGCTATGGTACAATATGGAATTGCTGAAAGCAGAGAAGATGGTCTTTGACTTGTTGTGAAGCACACTTGTAGTGTTTTAGAAAGCAGATTTCAAATAAATGAGCTGAAAGCCCTGCTGATGAAGAGAAGCTTCCCAAGGAATCAGAAGATAGAACCGGTATACTATAGATAAGTGGAAGACTAAATAGCTTGTGCAAGATAATGACCCTTTTCCCTTGACAAACTCAGCCAGAATTACAGACTGTGAGCCTGTTCTCCACAGAAACACCCATCTTGGCCACCTTCATGCTCTAGATAGTCAGGATACTCCTCACCATCACCTCCCCACCTCCCTGCTGAGCTGTCAGTAGGGAACAGTCCCTCATGTCCCGAGGGAGGTCCAGTGCACACCAAGGCACTGTGATCCTGCAGCCTTCCCCACACCCCTTAGGTCAAGGGCTGCCAGGAAAGGAGGGATAAAAATTACCAGGGGGCCCCCTCAATGAAGGCAGGTACTTTTGTAGGGTATATGAGCTGTGACTGGGTTAGGATACCTCTTCCATGCAGTTACAACAATCTAGCTCCTAAGCATGATTCCAGGTGTAAGAATAAAGTCTAGGAATTTGTGGACTAGGAATGGATGAACCATTCTGCCGTGCAGTAATGAAATCTGCTATACCAAAAAAAGATGAGGGGGAAAAATATGTTTAAAAACATATTTGTAAAATAGGGGTTTTTTTTTCCTTGATGAGTGGCCTGGAAACAGCTGAACAGGATCCATTTAACTGTTTTCTTGTGGTGCACTTTTTGTAGTATTTTGCAGAGTAAGAAGTTATAGATTCTTTCTTCACCTTTGATTACATATAACTAGGGAGTTTTAGGAGTGTATGACTGATAAAAGCATTGCGAATGGGTTGCAGCAAAAATGAAAACTCTAAGATACAAAGCTTTTTCTGAGAAGGATTTTAAAAAATACAGGGGAGTTTGTGCCTATAAATAACTGTTCAAACATGATCAAAATTCATGGCTCAGAATTTTGCGATAGTTCAGAAATAGCATTTGTTCATTAACACTGCACAGATGGAGTAATTTTAGTCCTTGTCTCTGAATAAATCCAGGCCATTGTTTATATCTCTAATAA